TGTTTAGGAAATAAAATGTTTAGGGAGATAAGAAACCTTAACTACCCTGACCTGATCACTACACACATGTACTAAATCACCACATTGTAGCCCCAAATGCTTGGACAGCGGCTAAAACATTTACATGTTTTAGAGATATCACTTTGGCAAGGCTCATGTCTACTAGTAAGGACGATCTTCTTAATCTTACTTTCTATTAGGGCTGTGTGTGTGCGTGAGTGTGTGTGTTGTGTGTACACGTGCGTGCTCGCACTATACATGCACACGCATGCGCTATGGAACTTGGGTTGAGGTCAGAGGACAACTTTCAAGAGCCAATTCTCTCCTGGTAAGGATGAAACTCAGGTGATCAGTGCGCACTTATCACTAAGCCATCTCCCCTCCCCCACTCGCACCCTCTCAACTCCCTGCCAAGATGAAGCTTGAACTTTGGCTCTTCCTGCTTCCCTCTCCCAAGAGCTCGGATTGCAGCTTGAGACAGTGGGACTGGTTCAGAGATGCTGGCCATCAAACACAGGACTTCCTGTCTGGTAGGCAAGGCCGGACTACATTCCAGTCCTGCAAATTTAAAGTTTAATAAGAAATTTGGGCACTACCTTGGAGTTCCCTCATCTCTATAACCCTGGTAACTAAGCTCTGGACAGCATTCAGCAAAAGCGCAAGAAAGCCGGGGGATGCTCAGCTCCGCCGTCCAGACTTTCACAGGCTGCCAGAGAACGGAGCATGCAGAAAGTTCTGACCACTCTGCACAGAAAAGACTGAAAAGAATCAAAACTAAAGTTGACTAAAGAATCAACTTCCGACTCAGGAGTCTTCTTCCTGGATCCCAGGTCACTGTCTCTGGAGAAGTTCAAGGAAGGTTTCTCTACCAGATGAGCAAGTGGAAAAAGCAAGAAAATTGACCAAGGGAGCAAACACAAAAGCAGGAGCCGCGAGGAATTTGTCAGGGGCCACGTTCTGAGATGGCTTCAAAGATGAAATCAACATAATTTTATTTCGCATGTGCATTTGGTATGCATGTGTGTTCCTGTATGGGCACACACGTGTGTACGGGTGCAGGCATGTGAATCATGTCTGCAGGCCCACAGATGAGATCAGATGCCTTTCTCAACGGTTCTCCACTTTATTCATCGAAGGAGGAACTCTCTTCAGTGAGGGAACTTGCTAATTCCAGTTAACCTAGCTATCCAGCTGGCCGAGTACGCTGTGTCTCGCTCCCTGGAGCTGGAACGACAGGCTGCCACCATATCTCCCTGCTTCTCACATGAGGTCTGGGGGTCAGAACTCCAGTTCTCATGATCATGACGATGAGGCAAATGATTTATCCACTAAGCCATCTCCCTGGCCCTAAAACTTTTGTTGTTGTTGTTTTGGTTTGGTTTTTTTGTCACTTACAGACCTTAACAATCATCTTAATCAGTGTTCGGACCACTCTACAAATACTGCAAAGAGTGAGACCAAGTCCCACAGGCAACATTTCCCAGCAGATCCATGATGCTCAAACTCCAAGAAGTCCCATTTAATAATTACAGTACAAGCCTCCAAGACAAGCTTTTCACAGTGAATCTGCTCATTAAAAACCATTATCGGGCAGAAAGATGGCCCAGAGGGTTAAGGCACTTGCCCCTAAGCCGGGCAGTCTGGGTTTAATACTCAGGACCCACGTGGGGGAAGGAGATAACAGACTCCCACAGCTGTCCTCTGACCTCCACCGCATGCATGCACACACACATACAATAAATAAAGACTAGACTTTAAGAAAGAAAAGTGCCAGTGTGGTGACATATCTTTCATCCCAGTACTTGGCAGGCAGAAACAGAGAGATTCCTGTGAGTTTGAGGCCGGCATGATCTACATATCAGGTTCCAGGCCAGACATGGCTACACAGTGAGATCTTGCCTTTAAAAAAAAAAATCAAGGAGATGAAAGACAGCTCAGTTGTGAAGCCCTTGCTACTACTACGTGTGAGGCCTCAGGGCCTTGGGTTCCATTCCACCCCCATAAACACACACATACACACACAGACACACACACACAAACTGAAAAATAAAAACCATTACCAATCAGTCTTTGGCCTACTTTGCAAGATTCCGTTCACCAGAGAAAACAAGACTAGAAAAATGCATGTGGGCATGGCCTCTGTCCTCCCTGGTCAAAACTGCTTTTGCATAAACAAAGCCAGACACCAAAGTCAAAGGTTCAAGAATCTGAGAACATCAAATCTTGTGAGGAATAAACCACTTGGCAGTCCGCCATGCCATCTTCTTGGCAGTCACCTGTTCACCGTCATCCTGGGCCGTCCTCACCTACTTCACGAATGTGTAAAGAATCACCAGTCATCTGGAGAGAGAGCTCACTCAATAGCTCCCACAGAAACACCAGGAACTCAGCTCAATCCCCAGCCCCCTTGTAAAGGCCAATCACGATGCTGCACCTTGGCATGCCAACGGCGGAGAAGGGGGACACAGAAGGACTCCTGGATCTCACTAACTGGCAGCCGACCCTAGTCAGTAAGTCCGAAGTCCCAGGGAGACACTTTGAAAAAGGTCAGGGGGCCAGCTCCTGAGGAACAACACATCCGAGGTTGACCTCTGGATACCACACGTGAACACACACATACCAGCATGCAACACACATGCACTCACAAACACCTTGGGGTGGGGGGGGGGAGAGAGAGAGAGAGAGAGAGAGCGAGAGAGAGAGACTAGTTTTCACCAGAAAACCCTTGGCTTCCCCCACATCCTTCTGCTTACTGAGAACACAATATAGGAACCCAGTTTTCTCCTGAAGGCATCTATAAAACCCCTGACCACTCGACTTGGACATGCATATATAAACACTTTGCATTTCGGCTGCCTTTCTCCACATATGCTTTGTTGTTCCCCAAACTTTAAAAGTATTTAAGAGCAAAGACTGGGTCTCACTCTTCAGCGCTGTGACTCTGCTCGGAACTTCTTGAGTTCTCAGATAACAGACTCACAGAAAAGTCTAGTCTGAAATGACCGTATGACTCAGGCCAAACCCCATGCTTAGCAAACTGCTGTAGAATATGGCCATGAGACCACTCTTCCCTGATCCAGAAGCTAAGAGGGTTTGGTTTAATTGGGACGTGAATGGGAGAAAATTGTTGTGGTCAACAAATGATACGTGCAAATATACATAATTATACATATATATATTCTCCCACACACTTTCGTTTATTTGTATCTATTTATTTATTATTCATACCCGTATTGGTAATAAACTTTATTTGGTTTTTGTTTTTCTTTGAGATATAGCCCTGGCTACCCTAGAATTTGCTATGTAGACCACACTGGCCTGACTCCTCCCGTTTCTATCTCCAGAGTGCTGGGTGGTACGGGCATATGCCACCATGCCCAATTTTTACTTCATTTGGCCCTTGATAAGACCATTTGCTGTTCTTGATTTTCTTCCTGCGAGGCTTTTCCTGTTCTGCACTTCCTCCCCTTGTGGCTGGAGCCTAGCACAGAGCTCAGTAGCGCTAGTGAGCCTATCAGCAAACAGACTGCAGCTTAGCTTTCCCGGGACTCCTAAAGCCATCTCTCCTAGGCAGAGCCTTCTCAGCTCCCCACCCTCCCTTTTCACACACAATTGCCTCTCTGCAGCTCATTCTGAAGACGCCAAAACCACTCTCAAAAGTTTTGCAATCAAGTTGCCATCTTTACTAAGATATCCAGGAAAATCGCGACAGATGGAAAGACATCTTTTTTGGGGGGGGAGGGGATATCCTCTGACAATTTATCGAATCATATCTTTCAATAAGATATCTTGTCTGTTAATACATTCTAGCAGAAAGTAAACCAGAAACTGCGGGTGAGCTCTGGGAAATAAACGTTGTGTGCTCCCCCCCTCCCTTTCATGCAAGAAGGCAGTGAGTAATCGGATTAGCTTGAGGTGGGTACTTGGTGGAGAGTCCCTTCAACCAGAAACAGGTTCCATCAATACCGGTAGTGAACTCTACCAAAGGGGGTACACTGTACATTTTGCTTTTGGAAAACACGATTACTCGAAAAATATTTGCTTCAGCTGCCAGGACAAAGTGTCACTTCTTTGCCGGCAGGGGACATCGTAAAATTAGCCGATCTGAAGGAAAGCTTAAGATTCCAGAGTTCTGAGCCTCCTCAGATTTCCGCTGAAGTAGTGTAGGTTCCTTCAAGATAGTTTCCCTAACAGCGAATACAGTTTAACTCACGACCGGCATCTTGAATAAATTACACAAATACCATTTAAGCCGTTCTGGTGCCCTGGAAAAAAATCACAACACTCAGAAATCCCTCCTGGCTTCAGCTGTCCCCTCCTGCGGGGCTTGACAGCGCGTCCGCGGCGCCCAAACATCAGCCAACAGGCTCCCCCCAGCGCCCTCCTGTCGCATCAAACCGCCAGCGTTGTCGGGCCAAACTCCAGCGTCCCTCAAAACAAAACCGCGAAAATGTGAACCCTGCTAAGCAGACGGTAGGGCGCGTAATAACTCCCCCACCCCTTTCCCCTGTGCGAGTATTTTGAGAAGTTCGCCTATGCTATCCACTTCTCGCGTCCACGGTTCGCTTGCCTCAACCTCCTAGAGGCGCAGAGGGGGCGCGAACCCAAGGGAGAACCGATGATCACTACTCCCTCCGCGGTTTCTCGGTGCGGGGAGATTTAACAACTCCTCCATGTGAATCTGATGCAGATAAGAGAAGACTTTCTCCCCGTGTCACCCCACACTTGCTAAATAGAATTAACAACAAGGAAAGTATGTATGCAGTCGGTTTTGAGCCTGGGCCCCTCTAAGGGGCGACGAGGCCTTTAAGGAAGGCGGTCTGCAATATGGAGGGAGAAAGTTTGGCCGCCAAGTGGACGTCAGGGTGCAAGTGGACCGCACCCGGTCCGAAGCCAGCCGGCCGAGAGAGGGATCGAGGAAGAGGAGGGCGGGATTCGTGGCAGAGCTCGGCGAGCAGGCTGCTGTTGCCGTGGCCGGCGGTGCCCTGACCTGTACTTACATAACGCTTTAACTTCTTCTCCGGAGGGGACTTGCGGAGCCATCCCGAGCAGACCACTTCGCCGCCGCTCATGGTGCACGCCGTGAGGGCTCGAGGGCCAGGCGCCGGAGGGATCGGTGGAGAGAGTGGACGCACTCGGGACACGGCGGACAAACACAGCCCAGAGGTCCTCGCAGCTTCCCTCGACGGGGCGGTCAGGTCCCGCGCGCCCTGGGTCGGCTACCGAGCCTCTCTCTTCTGCAGATCCGCGGACCGAAGCGGAACCCGAGCGGAGCAGCTGGGACCAGAGCTCGCCGGCCTTCTTTCAGTGCACCCTCCTGGCCGCCAGGCGCGGCGGGACCGCCTCGGCAGCGGTCGGGCTCCGCTGGGACTCTGCCGCGACCCGGAGCCCGGAGCTCGACGCCCAGCGCTCCGCCCCTCGGGGACAGGACCTCCCGCGAGCGCTCCCTGCTGCG